CTCCCCGAGCAGGGCGGACTCTGCGCGCGCCAACGCCCAGGCGGCCTCGCCACGTGACCGCCACACGGGCGGGCGCGTCCCGCGCAGCCGGCCCAGCAGCCGCCACCGCTCGCGCAAGCCCCATGGGAGTTCCACGAGCTCGCCGCCCCGCGAGACTCAGGCTGACGCCCAAGCCCCCGAGGTGGTGCCACGTTTCGGTGCCGGCGCCAAAGACCCTAACGAGGTCGACCTCGAGCCGACGCCGTCCACGGACCAGGAGCTGCCACCGCCCACCCGAGTCGTCGCCCCCGACGAGGCGCCGACCTTCGACCCCTTCAAGCACAAGTACTCCGTCAAGGACCTCGCGGCGGGCTTCGGCGGCGGCTCACCGCTGTCTCCTCAGAGCCACGGCGGCGCCCCCGCCACCTCTGCCGCTGCCGCGGCAGCGGCGGCCCCGCGTGGAGTCAGCCCTGTCCGCAGCGCGAGCCCCACGGCAGCGGGCATGGACGAGGCTCAGCGCCAGGCCACCGACCGCGCCGCTCGCCACGCCCAGCTAGTGGCTGACGCGCTGGCAGGGCGTGCGCCGCCGCAGCCACAGGGCCCACCGCCCGAGGCGAGCGCGGAGGGCGCACACGAACAAGCTGTTCCCGCTGATGCTGCTCATCACGGCACTGACGGGGCGGGCGCGCCGCCGCAGGACGGACCAGCGGTGTCGCGTGCGCAGTATTCGCGCGCGCGCTGCGCCGCTGCCGCGCCGCGCTGCCGCCGCTGGTTTGCTTTTGCTCTTGCGCTCGGCAGGATGGATCGAGGAGTCGCCTCCCTCTCCCCCTGCTGCCGTCTCACCTTTCCTCCCTCCGCCCCCCACGGTACAGGAGTGAGGAGTTTTTTTCGAGGCAGTTTTACCGATGTTTATGAACCCCCCCGGCGCAGCGTCGACCATGCCTTGCCTACACTTTTGGCCCGACGGCGGCTTCAGCCCCGACCAAGCCAATCTGCTGCGACGCCATGAGCTCCTACTGTGGCCAAGCCTCCTACCTGGGTGACGGCCAGGCCGCCCTCCACCGTGCGGGGCGTGCTAACCCCAGCTCCACCGACGGAGATGGGCCAGGTCGCTCCATCCACCTCGTCAGCCTCAACATCACGAGTCTTCCAGCGAACTGGCCAACCAGTACCGCCCTAGGTGTCGACCACAACGCCGCAGTCATAGCGCTGCAGGAGACCCGTCATGCCAAGCCTACCAGGCAAGCCATCGCCACCAACGCCGCCAATCCACCCCACGGAGGATACCAGGCCAGTCTGGGACCTGACCTGGACCTGGCGCGTGCCCAGCGCAAAGCTGCTCACGGTGGCACGGACCACACGGTCGAGGGCAACACCGGCGCCTCGGGCGGGGGTGCCATCCTCTCTAAGGACGCCATCGTCGACTCCACCGTCGACGACATTGCGACCTGTATCGCCACCCTCAAGGCCAAGAAACGATGGCACGAGGCCTTCCTCCCGCTCTGCACCCAGAACCGCCGCAGGCGGCGACGAAACAACCACGGTCCCGCTGGGATCTACATTGCGAGCCTCTACGGGGTCGCTGGAGGGGACAGCGCCGATATATTTCGGCTTGCTGATTGCGCCGCCGCGAGGGTCGGCTCAGCCCCGTATTTCATTTGTATGGACGCCAACACGAACATCGACGACAATCCACACCTGCTGCACATGATGCACACGGATGGTCCAACGTCGCTGAAGGCACACCAGACCACACCATGCACACATATGGCAATATCCCTGACTGGGACCGCGTCACCAAGTGCCCCCGCACTTCGCGCATCGACTATGTCATCGCCAACCAAGCTGCGCGATCCCTTGTCACCGAATTCTGCTATCTGCGTGACTTGCCAGCGAAGTCCCATGTTGGCCTGCAGGTCACACTCGACCTAAGCCGCCTCGATCACACGGCCCCACGCCTTTTGGCCCCCACGCCATACCCTCCAAACGACGGAGCTCATGAGGACCACGAACTCCAGGCACTAGGGACCCACAGCGCCGGACGATACCACGACCGCATGGAGCAGGCTGACGCACGCGACGATGTGGAACGCATGTTCGCCCTGGCAAACGAGGCCAGCCATGAGTACCATCTCACCCGGCTGCGGGACCTGCCGCCCCCACCGCCAGACCACTCAAAAAAGAAGGCCCCTACCATGCACGGGCTCACACCCACGTTCGAGGAGCGACCCGCCGTCCCCCGCGCCTTTCCCACCTACGGAGCTTCCACGATTCACATGAACCGCCTTCGCAAGCTCCATCGGCAACTTTGCGAGCTTCGCTTCATCGGATTGCACCATCATATAGACTGCCGTGCTATCCCGCCGCACCTGGCGCAACGCATCGACTGCACGTGGGCCGCGGCCCGCCTTCTCTGCCACAAGCTGCGCCCCACGGCCCTCCTGGCTTTTCCTGACGCCTGGGCCCCCGACGTGCCAGCGCCACGCGGAGAGCAGCTCGATCGTCTGATTCAAAATCTAGACTCGGAGCTGGCGCGACGTGCAAACCGAGCCAAAGCTGAACGCATCAAGATCTGGTCTGAGGGCGTTCGTGAGCCAAGCGGGCGAAAGGCGGCCATATACGCACGGGCTGCCGACTGCTCGCCCACGGCGTATCTCCGCACGCCTACCACTCCCGACGATGCACAGCTCCACTGCGACATCACCGCCTTCAACCCTGACCAAGCTAGCACGGACGACAGCGACGCCGACACCGACGCCGGCGGCTTTCGATTTTTTTTTTTTTTTTTTTTTTTTTTCTTTTTTTTTTTTTTTTTTTTTTTTCTTTTTTTCTTTTTTTTTTTTTTTTTTTGTTTTTTTTTTTTTTTTGTTTTCTTTTTTTTTTTTTTTTTTTTTTTTTTTTTTTTTTTTTTTTTTTTTTTTTTTTTTTTTTCGTTTTTTTTCGTTTTTTTTTTTTGTTTTTTCTTTTTTTTTTTTTTTTGTTTTTTTAGTTTTCAGCCCGGCGGACGGGGGGGGGGGGGGGGGGCGGGGCGGGGGGGGAGTGTGGGGGGGGGGGGGGGAGGAGCACGGGGGCGGGGGGGGAGGGACGTAGCTCGCCCGACACGGACAACGACGACGGCCCCATTCATGGCCCACTACCAGCCCAGGTTCCCGACGCCCTCCCCGCCAACGCTATCGTTGCCAACACCAAAGACATGCTCAAGCTCATGGTCGACACCTGGAGCCCATCCTGGGCACGTACCGCGCTCGCGCGGGCCATGGCGCCGAAGCTATGCCGACGTGGGCGGACTTCTACGACGAATACCGCCAAGAGCTGCCTACGCCATCACCAGCAGCCCCCTTCCACCTTACCGACGACCAACTCATCCACTTCATTCGCACTCGTTCACCGCGCCGCGCGGGGGGACTCGACGGCTGGACGACCAAGGAGGCAAAGGAGTTACCCGACGACATCCTTCGCCTCTTCGCCAGCGTCTTACGTGCTATGCAACGCACTGGCACCATCCCCGAGCCCCTCCTGCACGTGCCAAACCCGTGCCTCCGAAAAGGCCGAGGGGAACTCCCGACGGACCAACGGATTCTCTCGGTTCTTTCCGTGTGGATGTATGCGTGGGAGGCGCCGGCCTACCGTAGCCTCACGACCTGGCGGCAAGGATGGACCCATGCCACGAGCTTCGGCGCCGTTCCCAAAGCCACCATTGGGGATGTCAGCTCTTCTCTCGCCCTGCGCATCGAACACGCCAGGACTTTACTCCTCCCCTTAGCTGGAGCAGCCCTTGACCGACAGAAGTGCTTCGACTACCTCATCACGGACATCTGTCTAAACCTTGCGCTGCACGCGGGGTGCCCACAAGACATCGTTACTGTCCGCCGAAACTTCTACAGACACACAAACGCTACATCCGCATGAACGGAGCGTACTCCAGGGACCTGGCCAGGACAAACGGTCACCTCCAGGGCAGCTCGTGGTCCCTGGATGACATCAAGCTGCTCATTTGCGTGTGGACAAAGAGGCAGCACCGATACGTTCCTCGATCACTCAGCACTACCTTCGTTGACGACAGCAACTCCACTACCCACACCGCTCCTGAGCTGCAGAAATCTCTCGACGAAACCGCCAAGTTTGACCGATTCTCCGGTCAACGCATTCACCCTGGTAAAGTGGCAGGGTGGGCGCTCCCCGATGAGCTGCACGCCGCCGTCACCCAGCTCACACTGGCGGATCGCCCCCTCCGAGTGGTCGATTCCTTCAAGCTCGTCGGGAGTTACATCAACGCCGAGGCAGCGCCGGCTCCAGCCGCGCTTAACCTCACGGCCACCGCAGACGCCCGTGTGCGGAGGGCGACTATCCGCCTGCCGCGCATTGGCAAGCTCCCGTCGCCGATGCTTATCAAGGCGCGGCACGCCCGACCCCTGGCCGCCAGCGTCCGCACCACGGGCACCGACATCCAAGCACCATCAGGCCCAGCCAAGACTGCCTACAACCACGCCCTCAAGGCGGCTATCCGCCCCAAGGGGAACAAGTGGGTCGAGTTCTGGACTCTCATGGCCGTGTGCGTGCCGGGACACGCCCTTGAGATCGACGCCATCACGCAGCGTGAAGCATTCCTGTGCCTGCGGCGACAGGTTAACCGTGACGTAACACTCTGCGGGCTCGCCAGAGACCTCCAACACCACGTCCAGACCCTGTTTGGTGGAGGACCCGTCGGGCGACTCGTCCAGTCGCTCCAGCAGCTCCGATGGACCTGGCCCACATTAGGCATCATGTACGATGACTGGGGCTGCCCGATCAGCTGGCTGAATCTACCCCAAAACGCCTTCCTGCACATGCTGCGGGCCTCACAACGCAGGGCATTTCTGCGCAAGATCAAGCCACGGCGACACGACCTTGGCTACCTCGCCTCGGTCAGACAGGGCTTTGACCTCTTCGCCAGCACGTGGCTCGCCCGAACCAAAGGAGCAGCCAAATGCACTGCCTGGCAGCTGGCGCTCCTCCTAAACTACCTGTCGGGCGGGGACCACACCCAACAGCGACGATCCCGATCCAACACGTCGGCAGACCCCAGCCCCATGTGCCGCTACTGCGACGAGGAAGAAGAAACTCAGGAGCACACTGTCCGCGACTGTAAGTGCTGGGCCCGAGAAAGAGTTCCTCTCACCACCCTCATCAGTGACGACCAGTGGGCCCGTCTTCCGCCGCACACAAGACACTGCGGGCTCTTCGACGAAGACCCAGCCCTCCTCGACCTGCAGGCCGACCTCGCGAGGGACCCGCTGCCACAGCCCATCCCGCGGCCCCCCCTGAGGGTGATCCTGCGGCTTCAGCCCAGGACACCTACACCACCTACCTTGACAACGACACTGGATGGACATGGGTCTATGCTGCAACGGACGGTGCGTGCACCAACCAAGCCATCCCACTCCTAGCACGAGCGGGCTACGGCGTCTACTACGGCATCGACCACCGCATGAACTACAGTGCACGCGTTCACGGCCTAACGCAGAACGCCAAGGTTGCGGAGACCCTCGCCATTGTCCACCTTACGGCATGTGCCGAACGGCCCGTGCACGTTTTCGTGGACAACCAGGCGGTGGTCGATGGGTTCCAAAGCATCATCGACGTACATCCAGCGCCGCAGGGCACGCACGCGGAGCTCTGGGAAAAGATCCACCGATGTGTTATGGCCAAGCCCAACATGTTTCGCGTCGAAAAAATCGCCAGCCACCTGGGAGACCTGGGCATCGACCTTGGGCTCATCGGGCCCATCGCGGAGGTGTTCAACCGTCAGGCCGACGCCCTTGCCACAGCGGCGGCACGCACGCACAACCTCCCCGACGACATCGTTGAAGCTGCCAAAACACGACATCGCCAAGCGACCGTGCTTCACGGGGTCGCTGTCGCCATCTACGAGCGCAGACACCGTACTCTGCCGCTCCCACACCGCAGGGCTGGGTTTACAGCGGCTGAACTCAGCAAAATGGAACCGAACCCCTGCTGTCGGACCAGGCACCACCCGCGGCTGGACCAGACATCCCGCAGAACCCGGACGAGCTCTGGGCCGAGGCCCAACGGGCGATGTACGACGAACAGGAGGACGACCCGTTCGGCTTCGGCGGGGGACTAGACTTCCTGGACGACGGGCCAGCCAGCGCCAACCTTTCCCCGTCGGGCATCCGCACGACGCCCACCTCGACTCCGCCACCGAGAGCGGCACCGCACCCACATGATGACGTCGCTCACCTCCAAGACGCCGACGAGGACTTTTCTGATCCCCTCGGATTGGGTGGCAGCATAGACGACGTCCCGCCGACACCCCACGCTGCCGACGATGCCGCTTCATCGAGTCGCCACCCGGTCACGCGGCCGACCTCTGAGCCCTCGCACGGCATCATGATTGGACCCTCCGTGCCACCAACCCCGTCCCCCCACCAGCGCCAGCCCGCGGGGGCGGCTTCAGCCCCCCCGCAGGGCACTGAGCCAGTCAGGCCGTCGCGCCCCGTCCACGCTCCTACTGTTGCAGGCTGCGAGGCTGCGGCTCCTCCGGCCTCATGGGGCGTGGCCCCAGCGGCTTCAGCCCTGGGACCGCGCGACGCCCTCCAGTCGCCTCGCCACGGCGACGGCCGCCAGCGCACGGACCGCCGCACCGCGCTGGTCCACCACCTGGCCAGGCGCACCGATGACCTCGTCCCCGCCGCGAGGCCCGCGGCCGCGGGCACAGAGCAGCCGCCACGCACCGACCGCGAAGCCGAGCTGTCCCAGTCTACGGCCGCTCTCCAGCAGAGGTGCGCAGCTCTCGCCGCCGACCTTGCCGCTGCCCAAGCCCGTCAAGGCCCTTTGCTCCAGCGCCTCCACCGCGCCGGTCGTGCCTTCGCCGAGCTGCTAACACCCCCGCCCGATGGTGCTGCGCCGCAACTCACCCTCCATGCTATGCTGTCATCGCTCCGCCTGGAGCCCCGCGCTAATCTCCGCCATTCTGCCTGCCCGTGTGCACGCGTGGCCCCGCGTCCACGGTGTCAGGGCGTGGGGGCGGGGGGTGCCCCGTCCCTGCGCGCCGCGCTGCGGCCGAGCGCCCAACTGGCGGGCTGCCAAGCCGCCTAGCCACGTGTCCGCACGTCGCCTTTCTTGTTGGGGCCTTCTTCGTCACGCGGTCTGACACGTGAGATCTTCACAGTCTGTCCGCCGTCCGTAGCTTCAGACGCAATGCGCCGGGGGAGGGGGTCTGTTGCCCGCCGTCGTATCTTAAGGCTGCACCGCCGCTAATAGTGTTTTGCGGGTTGTCGCACCGCAGTGCGCCTCGCGGACGGACCCTGGTCCGCCTACTTGTCCGGTCTCTCTCCTTTTCTCTCTCTCTCTCTCTCTCTGTTTTTGTTTTCTCTCTCTCTCTCTCTCCCTCTCTCTCTCTCTCTCTTTCTCTCTCTCTCTCTCTCTCTCTCTCTCTCTCTCTCTCTCTCTCCCTCTCTGTAACCTTATATCTCCCCCTTCCCGTGGCCCCCTGAAGAGGAGAGGGAGGAGGGGGTGGAAAAGGAGGAGGAGAAGGGGGCAAGGAGGAGGAGGCCAAGGATGAGGAGGGGGACGGGTCGCGGCGGGGCCGACCGAGCAGAACGAGCTGACGAGCGCGACGGGCGACGAACCCTGGAGCTGCCCCACCGGGGCCGGCCGAGGCATCGAGCCGAGACTGGCCAGGGGGGGGCTCGAGGCCGTTGCGAGCTGGCCCGAGAGCGCGCCTCCAGTGCCCGACTGGAGCTCACTAGACGGCGAGCGCTTCGCAGTCGAGGACTTGCCGAGGGACTACGAGGGCGACGAGAACCCCTGCCTCCTCGAGCTTGCAGAGCTAGACCTCGCGCTCGCAGACGAGCAGCGAGAGATGCTCGAGCCGCCAGAGGAGCGCGCGAAGAATATCCAGTTCCCGCGCGCCCTGGAAGGCCGAGTCAGGCTTCGCAAGGGAAACAAACGCAAGAACAAGTGGGCGAGCAAGTTCCGAGGCCAGCACGTGGGCAAGCTGGCGGCCAAGTGGAACAAGGCGAAGCGCGATCAGAAGGGCCGAGGCGCACTCGAGAGCAAGAGCCGAGGCATCGCCAAAGCGAAGCTGACAGGGCGAGCCTCCAAGCCGAAGACCTCCTTGGCAGAAGAGCCCAAGCAGAAGCTGAAAGCGAAGCGTAACAAGACGGCAACAGACAAGAATAAGCAGAACGAGGGCCTCGAGTCTTGCAAGGGCTCGCCCTGGCACGGCAAGATCGCGCAGGTCGACGAGGAGTGCTGGCACGAGGGCAGGCACGGCAGAGTTCGAGACGTCTGGCGCGTCAAAGACTGCGAGGGCGAGTGCCAGCTCCGGGCGCTCGAGGTCGAGACGGCGGCGATCTTCCAGATCCGCCCCAGCCAGGCACGAGGGGCAATGGGGCAATGGCGGAAGCCGAGCAGAGGGGCCGGCGGAAGCAGAGCGGAAGTTGACGCGGAAGCCGAGCGGGAGTTCGCGCGGAAGCCGAGCGGAAGGGCAGCGGAAGCCGAGCGGGAGGTCGCCCCTAGTGACCCATCGGCCCTCGAGCCAGGGAGGTCGTGGTCGAGCAGGAGTGGGCGCCCGCCAAGCCCTTCAAGATAGATTGGCGAGCGTGCAGGAAGTTCAAGCGCACCGAGCTCGCCTAGCATCTGGCGATCACGAATTGCGAGTTCGTCGAGAAGAACCGCGCCCTCGAGCTCGGCACAGTGCGAGCCCTGATAGGCGAGATCGAGGAGCGAGTGGGCGTTCCCGAGGATGTCCTGCTGATCGAGCCGACAATCGCTGTCGCCTGGGCCCGAGGAGACCAACGCGACGACGAGCTCACGACCGAGGCCCAGGACGAGCAGATGGCCTGGCTCGAGACACTCGAGAACGCCAAGCACATCCTCATTTGCGTCCACAGCGAGAACCCAGCGCACTACACCTACCTCAAGGTGGCCAAGGAGCACGCCAACGTGGCCATCGAGTACCGAGACGCCCTCAAGGTACCGTCCGACTCCGCCAAGCAGGCGGCCACGAGGATCTTCCACGAGTTCTGGGTCATGAGGTCGAGTGCCCCGCTCCGAGCAACACGAGGTTCCAACTTGACAGGTGGTCCTGCGGCCTGTGGGTGACGAGGTGGTTCGAGCGCGCCCTGCGCGAGATCTGCGGCGAGGGCCGCCCGCCTCCGAGCACCACCCAGGACATCTACTCGCGAGGCAACGAGTGGATCCAGAAGCTGCTAGATGCGAGCGACAACGCTGCCGCCCAGGCCAAGGCAAAGGGCAAGGCCAAGCCCAAGGGCAAGGCCAAGAGCAAGGCCAAGGATCCGCTGGGGGCCGAGCCCAATCACGCCACCCTCGAGGCAGCCCTGCAAGCGGCCGAGGATTGCAAGAAATGCGAGATGCTCAAGGATGGGTCCAAAGGATGCAGGGCGTGCATGGGCGAGCACTTCGAGGCGGTGCGCAAGAAGGGTTTCCCTGCGAGGGCAGCCGAGGAGTTCGAGAGCAAGGTTATGAACCTGTGACTGCGAGCAGTCTCAGCTGTTCCGGGCTTCTGCGCGAGACCCCATCAGAACAAACAGTGCGATTCCCAGGATGTCTCAAGCGAAATAAGCAATTTTTCGAGGATGCCTCAAGCGAGACAAACAATTATTTGAAGGATGTCTCAAGCGAAATGAGCAATTCTTTGACGATGTCTCAGGCGAAACCGACAATTATTTCGAGGATGTCTCAAGCGAAACAGACAATCATTTCGAGGGTGTCTCAAGCGAAACAAGCAATTCGTTGAGGGTGTCTCAGGCGAAACAAACATGCATTTCGAGGGTGTCTCGAGCGAGACGAGAGATTTGTCGAGGATGCCTCAAGCGAAACGAGGAATTATTTCTGTGAGGTCGTCTCAAGCGAAACAAGCAAGACTGATATCCGTAGTCATTTGGTGGCTCAAGATTCCGAGCTTTCCAAGAGTTTCACAAACCAAGACCCAACCCGACGCGACAGAGCGCCAAGGCTCCGAGTATCGAGGATGTCTGTGCCGAGCTTCTTCGACATGGATGAGATGCCCGAGATAAGCACGCAGCTATCGCTTGAGGCGCCCAAGGAGAGCGAGAACCATGATGACCCGAAGAATGATGAGAGACCGCTCCAGGACTCCAAGGGGAGCGGGGGCGAGAAACCGCTCGAGGACGTCATGGGCCAGAAGCGCACCAGAGAGCTGGAGGAGATCCCGAGCAGCAGCGACAACGAGGAGAAGCGAGCCTACCAGAAGGCCAAGCGCCGCCAGTCCGCACCGCAGCCAGAGGGCGAGGAGCCCGAGGACGACGAGCCCGAGGGCGACAGCGGCAAGCGCCCGAAGCTTGAGCCCGAGCCTGTTGTAGAGGCGCTCCCCGAGCGGCTCCAGCGCAAGTGGGCGCTCGAGGGTGCGCCCTAGCCTTAGTTTTTTTTTTTTTTGGGGGGGGGGCTGGCACCGAGAACAAATTCAAGCGATGTTTCGATCGAGCGCCTTAGGATCTCAAGATTCTCAAGCGAAACGAGCGTGTCCCGGAGGATGTTTCCAGCGAGGCTAGTAAAGGTTGAAACGAGAGATTTGTCGAGGATGCCCCAAGCGAAACAAGCAATGATTTCAAGGATGTCTCAACCGAAACGAGAGATTTGTCGAGGATGCCTCAAGCGAAGCAAGCAATGATTTCAAGGGTGTCTCAAACGAAATAAGAAATAATTTGAAGATGTCTCAAGCGAAACAGACAAATATTTCGAGGGTGTCTCAAGCGGAACAAGCAATTCGTCGAGGATGTCTCAACCGAGACAAATCATTGTTGAGGATGTATCATAGAGGACAAGGATCCTCAATCTATGTTTGGCTTTTTCTTCTTGATATGTCTTTATGCTGGCTCTGTCGGGCAACTTTTATTATCTCCCCGAAACCCCCGAACTTTATTATCCCTGGGGGTGTATTCTCCGAGTTTCTCGGTTATCGTTGAACAATTAGGCAGCCGCGCAACTTGAGGCACCTGACAGCAGGATACATCACGCCTCTTGTCCGTTGGGTCGCCAGCTATTTCGGCTGCGCAATGCTGAAATCAGGCCTGGAGGGATGAGTGAAGTGGGCGCGACTATGTCTTCGAGGCCGGACGTGCATGTCCTGCACCTCGTCTTGTTCTGCCCGAGACGTGCAGGTCCTGTACCTCGTCGTGCTCTGCCCAGGGGCGCGGGATCGCCTGCCGCTCGGCGAGAGCGGCGCGCCCCGTGTGCAAGCTTGCCTATCGTGTCCCGCCCAGGTGGCCCCGGCTCGTCCGGGCGGCGAGCGGGGGGGACGTGGGAGGGGGCGGGCCTTTTCAGCAGGCGGCGCGGCTTCTCAGAAGCCCCCCGGCCTTCCGAGATGGCCCGCCCCCTCTCGCTTCCCCTCCCCCCCCGGGAGCGCTGCCGATGGTCTCGTCGGCAGACCGCCACCGTCCCCCCTACGATTGGCCTGCCCTGCCGTCCACCAGGGCAGGAACCAACAACCTTGACCCGGCAGCTGGCATTCATTACGCGGCCCAGGGCGTTTATTCAGCAGCCTTGCCCTGTTTGATTCCTTCGTTGGGTGCGCTTACCACATGCGGCATCGCGTGTCGCGGTGCTTCTTTTGGGGGAAATTTCAGCCCTCTGGAGTCTAGCCGCTCGGGGCCCCACGTCCAGATCTGGTGCGAGGTTGTTCAGGCTTGCCGTGGTTTTCGTTTCCGGGCAGCCCTCGCTCCCTGGATGGCCGCTCGGGTGAGGCGCTTGCGGCGGCAGCGTCGGTGGCCCAGCAGGGCGTTCCGTTGCCTCCCTGAGCTCCACCAGGACGGCAGTGTAACCAGCAAGAGTGCTCGAGGGGCGTGCCATGGGAGGCGGGCGCGTGTGTCAGACACCTGGGCGGCCTTCCGGCGTTTTCAGCCGGAGCTCACCCGGAGGGCCAGCCGTGCAGCCCCTCATCCTCAGCTCGGGGGGCGATGGCGGAAACGATCCGCCACGAGGCAGACGGCGAGCTGCTCCGGGACCACGCGCCCCTAACAACAAACGCGCCCGTCGTCGCAGGACGACCAGCGACGCGTGCGTTGAGCCGTTCGATGTCCGCGTGGGCTTCTCGGGTCGGCGCTGGGTCCCCACAGCGGCGCTTCCAGCGCCGCCATGGGCGCGCTTCGCTCGCCCAGGGCTGGGGTCCTGGACCGACTCCAGAGCTCCGCGCGTACCCCCGAGAGCTTCCAGGAGCAGAGCTCGGGTGCGAGCCCGGGGGGGAGGGGAGAGCTTGGCATCGCTCGGACGTGTGCATTTTCCCTTCGGCGAGGACAATCGAGGAGCATCCTTGATCAAATGGCGAAAAAGCCACGCACGAAACCGAAAAAACAAAGGGGAAGGACGTCCGAGCCATGGCGAGAGAGGGGGAAGGCCTTCTCAGAGGGCGGCGGGGCTCCTCAGAAGCCCTCATGCCTTTTGGAAACCGTCTGTGATTTCGGAGAAGATTCGCGAGGCTTCTCAAAAGGCGCGAGGCCATCTGAGTTGCCCCGCCGCCTTCTGAGAAGGCCTGCCCCATCTCGCTTCCCGCCTGGGCTCGCCGCCGACAAGCAGGAACGCACAAGTACATGACTTCACGCGGGCTTCGAGGGGAGCGAACCACGCGAGCGCTCGTGACACGAGGCGGCCTTGCGAACTCGGGAAGCACACTCACGTACGTGCTTGGGCGCGTACGTCCTTCTCTCGGGGCTCCTCCAGTATGTCATGCTTTTTGTTTTGCTCGCCGATGCACGAGAACAAGGAGGAGGAGGAGGAGAACGAGGAGGAGGAGGAGGAGGAGGAGGAGGAGGAGGTGCTCTTGGCCACTCGGCGTGGGCTCTGCTCCGCTTCCGGGCGGCAGGACTGGAGCCTCTGGTCCTACTTCGACCCCTGGGGGGCCTCCCCCGTCACGGAGCCCGCGCCAGCGGTGTCGGGAGGGGCCTGGGATTAAGTCGGGCCTGTCCCTCTACAGGGGGAATTTTTGAAAATAATATATAAATGATCTGGCGACTATTTTTTTAGTATTTTTGGGGCATGCTTTGAGTGTTTTTTGCATATGTTTTTATTTTGCGCCCAAAATCCCCCTATAGGGGGACATGCCCGACCTAAGCCTGGGATGGGAGGGCGGGGTGGGAGGGAGAGGATCGGGACGATCGAATTGGGTACTCAGAGGTGGACAAGGTACCCATACCCGTACCTTTCCCACATTCTCTTTTTTGGGGGGTCTCCTGGGAGGCCCTCTTCGCCACCGCTGGATTCGCCTCGACATCCTGGTCAGAACGCGCCCCGGGAAAGGTCCGGGAAGTAGTGGTATCGGTACTTTTTTGTTTCCCCAGGTACGGGAATAATGGGTACCAAGACCGGCAACAAGTCTTCATCGAGAACACAGAAGAACCCCTAACCCTGATAAGACGATGGAGACGTGGCCTCACTTAGGTTCCCGTCTCGCAGAGGGATGATACATCTGGGCGGTTTGGTCTGATACATCTGCAGGACATACCCCCTATCCCTAATGTTTTGGCCCTCCAAATTCAGCCCCCTCCCAAAGGGGTAGGGGATTGTTAGGGGGTTTATCAAGTCGTGCTCATTCTGCACAGGACTCGTTGTCGGTGTCACGGCGAGCGGCCTCCATTTGGGACAGGAAGCCGCCTGCGCAGCAGCGGGCGCTGCCGGTTTTGGACAGCCTCTGCTGTTGGGCATCGTGCAAATTTGTTTCCAGTAGGAAAAATCACACAGGCACAATTTACCGTCGATTCCCCCGAACATGTAGGAAAATATGAGAGGTGGGGGGAAGACGAAAACTCCCAAAATATGGGAAACTATGGGGAATGTTTTTACTTGTGTGTATTTATTTGTGTGTCCTGCGGCCCCTTTCATTGTTCCGTATCCATGCGGGGCGCTCCACGACTCACAGGGTGACATATTTAACCCGCTTTCGTTTCCAGGCACAGCCAAGTCATACCACGCGTCTCCTCGTCTAGCGGCCTTCCTGAAAACTCCGCGGGGGGTTAGATCAGCAGCAACTTTTTTCATTTGGAAACGTCGATGATAAATCATCGAAGTCTAGACGCGTCGCGTATCCCCACCTGCCCCATGCGTACCTGCAAGGCCGAAACTGTAGGTGGCTGTGCGAGCTGTGCTGGATCAAGTCGCTGGAAAGCAGAGGCATCGAGGTCCGCCTGGCCGAAAACAAGGACCTCAGCAACAAGAAGTCGCTCCAGCAACGCCTACTGACGTACAAGCGCACATTGGACGAGGCTCGCTACCGAAAGAGAGCCCGTGCTCTCCCCCCCTGGATCGGCTCCCGATCGGGTACGGGCAACCGTACAGTACGCAGTTCCCCTCCTGCCTGCGTGACCTTGTCATGAACACCCCGCCCGTCTACAGGCCACGGGCAGTCGGCACCACCCTCCCAGCCCACAAGCTGTCCGACGGCAGATTCGGGCCTGACTCACGCCATACGAACACCTACTCCGCCATGTGCGACACCTGCCCTGCGGGGTCGCCACTGCTCGTGTGGTCGACAAACAGCCCCGCACTCGGCTGCTTCATGTGGAGCCCGGAGCCAGGTGCGCCGCGCACCGACGAGACAGGGCTACCGCCTTGGGATACCATGCCCACGCTCTGGACCCAGCAGCAGTGTAACGCAGGTTGGGCCTGCAGGCGATGCCTCATCCACATCTGGAAGGTAGCGCATGGCACGCTCGACCGCATCCTGGACCAACACTCCTCAAGGGTATATCCCATCGCCCCCACCAGGCGTGCAGTAACAGCAGAAGTGCAGGAGGACAGCTACGACATCAGCGTCCACCTCCCCCCAGCGGGCGTCAACGCAGCGGCAAAGGACACATAATCAAGGCAATCGGCCCCAAGGGACGAGCTCACCCCCAACGACAGGGAGCACAACAGCGCGGCAGGAGACAGCAGCGAACCAGTCAGGGTCGGACGCGATAGCAAATCCGTGTTCCCCGACGTGGACCCGCCAGAGTGCCCCGTCCTACCAACCCAATCCACCCTCAGGCTCTCCGGGGTGGAATCCGACGGCCCCGTGTACTCCTTGGTGAAGTACCTGCTGGAATGGAATAACTCCGTCTACAAATTATGGGCCGACTTCGCGCAGCGGTACGGTGACGGCGTCCCAGGGGACAGCCGATGAGGGGTCGTGGCCCACAGCAAGTCTGCTCCCTTTCCTGGTAATGACCTACGGAGAGTCGATCCCAAGCAAGGCCCCCCCCCCCCCCCCCCCCCGACATCCCATGGGATGGGCAACGGGCTGCAGTGGCCAGAGTGGCATACCACCTAATGAGATTCAACGGGAAGTACCAAGGCAAATGGGATGGTTACGCTGCCAGCCTGACAGAGCAGAGAGGCCAGTGCCCCTTCCGACAGCGGATCGGCGCACAGCTGACATTCTTTATGGGAATTGACCAGGCCGCCCTGGCCTACGGTACCGCCGCCGCCCTGACCAGGCGAGACCCGCGCGAGGAGACCGCAGGCTCCTCAGCGGCGGGTGATTTCACCAGCAGCAACCTGGCTGAACAGAGCAGTCGAAACCGAGCCCCCCCCCCCCCCCCTAGCAGGCGGCATTGGACCTGCGCAAGAGGACGCCTCTGCCCGTGCTCCCAGAGCGCCCCCCCCCGCCTCAAGCGCAGACGGGGGGCGCGACCCTCAGGCAGAGAGAGGGGGGGGCTCCAACCGGCCAGGCAAGCAAAATCGAAGGCGAACCAGACGGGATTGACTGGGGGGGGAAGGGGGTAAGAAAAGCGAATTTGATAGCGCCAAGGACCCGAGTCCGGAGCTCAGCCCGACCCCGGTGGCAGACGAGGAAGAAGTGGACCCCCTCGAACTCTTCCTGGAGCCACCCGACAGGCCCGGCGCCTAGTCCCCATACGACCGGATCGTTGCTAGGAGCGCCGCCCGCGCAATCAAGAGCGCGAGAGACAGCCCACAAAGAGCAGACAGCGCAGCCTGGAGCATCAACGACGTCAGGGATGACCGCGCCCTCAGCCGCGCGAGCGGTGACAAGGGCCGCCAGCGACCCGCGTGGGAAGACGCCGAGGAAGGGGATGGCCGTGCCACAAAGTCCCCAAGAGGCGACCCAGCGCGGGTGCACATGTCCGAGGCGCCCTGGAGGGGTGCAAGGGCCACGCGGCCACCCCGAGGCAACCCGAGCGATCCCATGGGGGGCATCCCCATGTACATGTGCCCTGTTGCCGGTGCGGACGTCGCGAAGGATGAACCCATGCAGGATGAGATAATGCGCCTGCAGAAGACGCTGGGAGGAGCGTTCAATTGAGTTTGGGCCGCATGGGCGAAGAAGGCTGCCATGAGACAGGGGCCGGCGGAAGCGAAAAGCACGGCCCTACACGGAACGCGGTCCAGTCGAGCAGCGATTTCATCCAGGCGCGGGGCAGCGCAGGGTGCGACGCCTACAAGATGGACAGCGACCTAGGGCTCAACGTCCACTGGCCGTCGGTCAAGGACAAGCACATGACGCTCCTCCAACGCGAACCCAAGACCCACGCTCGGCGCGGACCTGTTAGCAGCAGTGGACCCGCCTCATGGACAGCAGAAGGCAGGGCAGGCGCGGCGGCGCCCGTGCATGATCGATGGGCGGGCGCCGTCGGTTCTGCCACCCCCACCCGTTGGCAGGACTGGCAGGAGTGGAATTCCAGGGGGGGCGGGGGGGGGAGGTAAACCCTTCCCCCGAGCGGGGGGGGGGCATAGCGTCGGCAGAGAGAATGCAATGTTCGCTCAACCATTCACGCCCAGGGGGCTGGCGGGATAAACGCCTTCCTCTTCCATGCTTCTACCTGCGTCGTAGTGGGCGGCCCTCTATCTCATCGTCAATGCTGCCGCTTTACTTCAAATCGCTTCGGGGGCCTCGAAGGGCCGCCGCAGCGGCGCCAGGGCCTCGCGGGGATTGACGGCGCCATCGGCGCGCGCGGCAGCGCCGCGCGAGCTCTTGAAGTTAGCGGGCGCAGCATGGCCAGTCCGTTCATTGCATGGGCGGGGCTGGTGCAAGAACGAGGCGAGCTGCAAACAGATGCGCAGCGCAGTTGTTGACCAGATCAGCGCGCGCTTGCCCCGCGTCTCCAGGCGCGGCGGCCCGCGAGGCTCGCGCGTTGCGCTGCGCCCGCCGCTGCGGCCCGCGACCCAGGCGTCCTTCAGGGGCATCGGCAAGCCGCGCTGGGGGGGGGGGCGAAAGTTATCGGCGACCGCAGCGACCTGCCATTTCTTTGAGCTCATCAATTTGACGCCGCCGAACGGTCGCGCGCGCGCCGACACCTTGACGAAGCAGTTCGTGGAGTGCGACATGAGGGCTGGGCCGGACTGGGCAACTCGCGAGACGTGGAAACGTGGGCCGTGCGCAGCAGTGTTACCAGCGATGCTGAATCATGGCGCGAGGCTCGCCAACCTGCTCGACGTCCTGCGGGGATGGCTGGGTCGGGGCCTGCGGGTTCAAGGTCGAGGTCGGCGGCGGCGGCCGGGCCTGCGCCGAGGCCATGCTGGGAGCCTGCGAGGTGCACGCCTGGCATGCTCGTCAACGGCTCGCCTGGGGCGATGGTGGGCGAGGGCGCAATCTCGATCAAGAACGACCAGTTCAGTGCTCGCCCTTCGGCCTTGACCTACGACGCCGTCATCGTGTCCCTGAACGGGTGGGTTGCCATGTTGCAGGCGTTATTGGACGCGACGGGCTACGCCGCCGCTTTGCGAGCCGCGCCCGCGGGCGCGGCGGACTACGTGAACTCCTCTGCGTCACCGAGCGGATCGGAACTGGTGAAGCTGACGAATAGCGCCGTTGCCAGTGGGGGACACGAGTAGATTCAGTTCGGCAGCGGCGTCGGGGGGCACGGCGACGCGCGCGACGAGCTTCTTTAACTGATCCAGCCGGGCGACTATTTAGATAGTGCCCCGTCCCGTGCCCGAGGCAAGAGGCTTGCCGTCTCCATCTCGGTTTGGTTGTGTGCCGACTCCGTTTCAGAGTCCAGTCGAGGGGCGATCCCCGTCTTGGTTTTTTCCAGTGTGGCTGCGCAGGCCCAGCGAGCCCAGACGAACCACCCCAAGGCGCAGGGCATCGCCATTACCATCAACGTCACCATCACCGCCACCATCACCATCACCATCACCACCGCCATGACCACCATCAGCATCATTACCATCGCCACCGCCACCGCCATCGCCATCATCGCCATTATCATGCGTGTGGTTCCGTGCGTCCGCCCCTCTCCGCCCGCCGACCGGGGGGGCAGGTGCGGCCCGCTGGCCCGCCGCGCTTGCGGGTGCGCGAGCGGAAAGCCAGCCGCGGCCTCTGCGGCCGCCGCGCCGCCCCCCTCTCTTTGGGGTGTGGGTGGGGGCGGGATCGACGGTCTTTAGGACGTGCGTTAGCCCTCAGAGGAAGAAAAGGGCCCCCCATATTTTAACGTTTTTTCCTTTTCCCACTTCTTCGGCCTCCTGGGAGGCCCTCGTCGCCACTGTCGCATTCGCCCCAGAGTCTTGGTCAGAACGTACTCCGGGAGAGGACCTTGAGCCCCCCCTAAGCTTGATGTGTGTTTGCCCCGCTCGGCTCCCCCGATAGCACGCCGCCTGGTGTCGCCCTCCTCGCAGGGCTTGCGTCGTGTCGAAGGGCTTCGGGGGACACGCACACGTTGGCGTTACCACACGTTCCGAGGATCCCCGACGGGACGGCGGGGACGACCGACCACGGACGATCGACGACGGAGACGGCGGTTCCGACGACGACGGCGAGTTGCCACGAAAACGATGGCGACGGCGGCGACGGCGACGGCGGCGACGGCGACGATGGCCGCGGCGGCGAAAGCCACGACGACGATCACGACGGCGACCCACGGTCGAGGACGGCGGACGACGGCCGCGACGACGACGACGACAACGGCGACGACGACGACGACGACGACGGCCGCGACGACGACGACGATGACGACGACGACAACAGACAATGACGACGACGACGACGACGACGACGACGACGACGACGGCCGCGACGACGACGGCCGCGACGACGACGACAACGACGACGACGACGGCCGCGACGACGACGGCCGCGACGACGACGACGACAACGACGACGACGACGACGACGACGGCCGCGATGACGACGGCGACGACGACGACGAAGGCCGCGACGACGACGACGACGACGACGACGGCGACGACGACGACGACGAGGACGACGACGATGACGACGACGACTGGTGATCGGCACGGCCGCTGGGACTCCGCGGCAGCTTGGCCGCCCGTGGGGGGGGGCCAGGGGGCCGAGGCGGGGCAACGATAATTCATGAGGCAATATGCGCAGGGGGTGGATGCGTCGATCCCCAGTCGCCCATAGATCGTCATTAGGAGTCTGATAGCCCCAGTCTGCCCAGGATGGGCCTTCAGGCCTGCCGAACACTTGCGGGGTAACGGCCCGCCGAATCCATCTCCCTTCGGACGGGAGGCGCGGACTGGCACTGAGGAGGAGGAGGAGGAGGCGGAGGAGGAGGAGGAGGAGGAACACGAGGCGGAGGAGGAGGAGGAGGAGGAGGAGGAGGAGGAGGAGGAGGAGGCGGACGTGGAGGCATAGGAACAGATGATGAGGGGAAAGAGGCGCTGGAGGGGCCTGTTTTTCACTATCGGGGCCTGTCGCCGATTTTCATCGCCGATGCATCGCCGATTCCAGGTCGATGGCTCCCCCCTGTTCCAGTCCCCGAGGACGATCGGCCTCAGCAGACAGCGAAGGCTCAGCTTGAGATCCATCTTCCTCCTCCTCCTCCTGATCCTCCTTCCCCTCCTCCTCCCCTCCTCCTCCTCCTCCTCCTCCTCGCCTCCTCCTCCCCCTCCTCCTTCTCCGCCTCCTCCCTCCTCCTCCTCAGCCTCTACTTCCTCCTCTTCCTCCTCCTCCTCTTCCTCCTCCTCCGCCTCCTCCTCCTCATTCTCCTCCTCCTCCTCCTCCTTCTCCTCCTCCTCCTCCTCCTCCTCCTCCTCCCCAGCCATGCGGGTCAGATCTTTGCAGAGATATGGCCGCGCGGAGGCTCTCCCAACACCATCTTGCCCCCCCCTTCGCAAGTTGCCCATGCGATGTGGCGGGCGGCTGGCCGCTCAATGCAGTATACGCTTACCGTAGGTACTTACAATCCGATGGCCGCGAATTGCCGCGACCGCCAGGAGGACATCGTGAACTCCGCCGCCAACTTCGACGCCCTGGCTCTCATCGGCACCCAGCAGAAGGCCACGACAGGCTGCTCAGTCAGGCGAAGGCTTCTCTGTGGGCGTGTCTTGGTGGAGGCGGGGTGGGCTGTTTCTGAGCATGTTACTCGTGCGTGTGGGTGTGCTATTGTATTCGGTCGTCGTGTTAGATCAGAACATATTGTGAGGTGTGTTGCAGCACCTGCTCCTCTGCAGGGGCGTGGTCTTGTTTGCCGAGCTCGGAGTGGTATCCTAGACTTGACTGTTCTTGCGCTTTACTTTCCTCCACGACCTCGCACATCAGCGGCTTGGGCTGCTTATGAAGCGACGTGTTCTAAGCTTCTCGAGTGGGCCGCACATGAGCTGTCCATTATCCCGAGCCGGTCCACGCCCGTGGTTTGCGCTGACGTCAACGACGGAGTGGGTATGCATAGAGTCGGTTCCTCGTGGGTCTACGACGGGCTCGGCACCGTTCCAGAGGAGAATGCCACCCAGGGGTTCGGGATCGGGCCTCGCTTCTCTGAGTTACTTGCTGTGCATGACTTACAGATTGCAAATGCGTACAAGGGCTTCGCCCCGACCTTTTTTGGCCCGCAGGGAACTACGAGTTTCATTGACACGATCGCACTACCACGACCGCTTGTCTCTGTTTTGAAGAGCGCGGGCCCCCTGCATCGTCTCAGTCGTGGGTTACAGCTCGGGCGCTGCAGACGTATCCTTGATCATCTACTTGTACACGCGGCGTTTCCTTATGTGCTTTCAGTTGACACTTCCTTGAATAAGACACTCTCGAGGGTTAGCTGGGATTACGACGCATTGATGATGTCATTGAGACGGGGCTCGCAACGACGTGAGTTTCTGGAGAGTATGGAGGCACAATTAGTACATGATTCCGCACACATCGACACCCTCAAGGGCCAAGGCACGGCCGACGCCCTCTTCGATTATCTCAACAGTATCATGATTGAAGTTGGTCGACCCTTTTTTGCCCGTGATCGTGTTAGACCCGCTCGTCAGCTTGCAGCCGAGAGACTTGAGCTGCTCGAGGCCAGGCGTCGCATACGACACGAGCTTGCTGCTGTTTCTGAGGAGGAGGCGGAGGAGGTCCAGGAACGTCTTCGGGAGATTTCTAAGGCTAATTCCAGATATCTTCGACGGCAGCGGAAGGAGTACCAGGAGGAGGTGATTGAGGAGATGAATGAGATGTGGAGGCATCGGCGTTTGGCCGAGGTGGCACGTCTGGCACGACAAGCATCAGGCAGTAGGTTTGGGCCAAAAAAACGTGACTACCTGGGCGTCCGAGGGGTCGTCGAGACCTCCGAGGTTTTGCTCGAGCAGTTTTCCCAGGCCGGGGCCGACGGGGGCATGCAGGCCTCCCAAGTTTCGAGTTGGGATGAGTTTCGTGATGCTTGTATGTTCGCTGCTCCTGAAGTGCGGGAGATCACCAGCGAGGATAAGAAGAGTGCGTATGCTGATCTGGCTGCAATTCGGAGGGGGCTTCTTCGTGCAGGAAAACGACGTGCGGTACCCGAGTGGGCTCCCCCTCTGGAACTCTGGTGGCTCCTGCTGCACCCCCAACGCAGGCTCAGCTCTCGAGGACGGGGTCTCGGTAGTCAGGTTCGTCCTCCTGATCCTGAAGGCTTCTGGGATGTCTTGAAAGCTGGGCTTCAGAGGATCCGAAGCTGCAGGGCCACTCCTGTTCGTTGGCATCGTAGTCGAGGGGTTTCCCTTCCACGCAAAGATCATCGTACCCGATGGATTCATCTCTTAGATCCTCTGGGCAAGCTCTGGATGTCTGGACTCATGGGGCAGCGGGGGCCTGGCCAGTATTGCTATGCTGATCACGGCTTTGTGCCTCGTCATCGGCGTGAAGAGTCCCTGCTGGTCCAGCACATTGCAGGCTTTCATTTGCAGCGTTCTGGAATGTCTCACATTACCAACTGTCATGACCTAGCTAATGCCTTTTCGTCCAGCAGCTGGTCTTGTATGAGCATGATTATGCATCAGATGTTTCGTCCAGGCTCTGAGTCGTTTGGACATCAGCGCTATCAACGAGCTACAGTTACCCTTGCAGGCTGTGATCGAGATATCACTCTTAGGCCTGGGAGTGGAGGGCTGATGGGGGACGGGTTCGCTGTGCGGAGCTTCGTTCACACGTTCGCCCCCGTCGTCGAGGAGTGGCAGGATAGGCAGGGAGGATGGGGCCCCTACGTGGATCAACTCGTCGTTCGGTCGCCGCTGGGAGGGGAGGCGGATCTTTCTTTGACCAAGTATGCCGACGATCTTACTAAGAAGCTGATTGGAGGCCGTAGTACGTCTGCCGCTTCGCTTGCCATCGCCAGCTCCTAC